ATTTTCAAACATTCTTTTGAAAAGTATTACAGAAAACATATAAAATGGCTCACAAAATAAAAGTCATTCTTATAGATTTATCACAACCCTTAAACAAGTAACAGTGGAAGTGACACAGGAAGTAGGCGTCCACATCACACAGATAATCTAAGTGACTTCCGCTTGTATAGCCTTCTTTGATCTGGCTATTATCGACAGGAGGTTTGCGCGTGCTTCTCTCTCCGCCACATGTTGCACGTGTAATCACGTTCTTTATCGAGTATTTCATGTTTTGGTAAAAGCTCTGAGTGGATCTGACTTATTTGTGCATTTAGTGTTAAGTACTATTAATCAGGAAAATGGCATATATCACAAACCGTTTCTGTTTATATCGACCGATTTCGAGACGCTAAATACATTATTTATTTGATGTAAAACTGTTTGTAGGTATTCAACTATCAGTTCTGATTTTTTCAAAACTTAGTTTCCGTGTCTTGACCACTGATACCGCTCCAGATCTAACTGCCCGATGTACACTGTAATGATATGTCTGAATTCCAAGAACACGCACACGTTGCTTAGTTCTATTTCTAGGAATATGGAGAATATATAACATTGTGTGACAGAATAATTTGATAAAACACGTCTGACTGAGGATGTCCTAAATATATCGTCAACAACGAACTCGTAAGTCTACTAAGGCGAACGAAGACGGAATATATAGGATGTGAAACCTTACTCCTCCAGTAACATTAAGTAAAAGAATAACCAAGAAATTACAAAATACTGTATCTGTATCTGTAGAAGCTTTATCCCAGATATCAGTCGTAGATACAATCTAGTAATTTTGGAGCATTTTATAATCATCCTATATCGAGTTTTTCAGAGATAATCAGGATTCTCTGGTGTCTTAATAGCATAACATCACCGGATATATTTAAATGGTATTTGTGTATTATGACTAATGTAATTGATACCGGGTAGATATTAATAGGTACATGAGTATTATGAATAATGTAATGGATACCGGGTAGATATTAATAGGTACATGTGTATTATGACTAATGTAATTGACACCGGGTAGATATTAATAGGTACATGTGTATTATGACTAATGAAATGAATATCGGGTAGATATTAATAGGTACATGTGTATTATGACTGATGTAATTGACACCGGGTATATATTAATAGGTACATGTGTATTATGACTAATGTAATCGACACCGGGTATATATTAATAGGTATATGTGTTTTATGACTAATGTAATTGATACCGGGTAGATATAAATAGGTACTTGTGTATTATGACTAATGTAATGGATACCGGGTAGATATAAATAGGTACATGTGTATTATGACTAATGTAACTGACACCGGGTAGATATTAATAGGTACATGTGTATTATGACTAATGTAATTGACACCGGGTATATATTGATAGGTACATGTGTATTATAACTAATGTAATGGGTACCAGGTAGATATTAATAGGTACATGTGTATTATGACTAATGTAATTGATAACGGGTAGATATAATTATGTGCATATGTATTATGACTAATGTAATTGACACCGGGCAGATATAAATAGGTATAAGTGTATTATGACTAATGTAATGGATACTTGATAGTAGATTTAAAAAGGTACTTGTGTATAATGAGATATCTTATTGATATGGGTAGATACAAAAATATAAAGGTACATGTGTATAATGAGATATCTAATTGATATGGGTAGATAAAAAATAAAAAGGTTCTTGTGTATTATGAGATATCTAATTGATATGGGTAGATACAAAATAAAAAGGTTCTTGTGTATTATGAGATATCTAATTGATATGGGTAGATATAAAGAAAAAAAAGGTACTTGTGTATTATGACTAATGTAATGAGTACCAGATAGATATAAATGAGTACATGGTTATTATGACTAATGTAATGAGTACCAGGTAGATATAAATGAGTTCATGTGTATTATGACTTATGTAATGGGTACCAGGTAGATATAAATGAGTACATGGTTATTATGAGAAATGGAAACTGACAAGCTCACAACACTTTTTAACGTATTTACTAAAGTTAACAATTATAAAATAGATGTTGTATATATTGTATTGTTAAGTGATGTGAAGAGAAATTTCACATCTCAATTAAAAACGATACGAAGATTTATTTTTCAAATAGATCAAACGATTTTATTACCAAACTCCTGAAACGAAATTATTTATAGAGTTCGAAGTTGTAAAGATTATTTCGTAGTCTTGGAAAGTATTTATATCTGACTTTAAGTAATGGTAGTGTGTGACAGAAAATAGTTTTTGTTGGTTCACTCCTCTTGTTGATTGGTATATCATATATATACAACACACACATTATTATGCAAAAAAGTGCCTAGCCAAAAAACAGGTATAATATGTAGATCGCATTATGAGGTTGATCATATCATGTAATTTCATCCATAAAACGAGAAGAAGTTGTAGGAGCGATGATGGAGATGGATGTTGTGGCAGATTACATACATCTTACAATTGTAAAGAAGAGTTTAAAATATAACTCATTATCCATTCAACCGTTTTATCCAGTCGATTGAGGGGAAGGTTCGAACACTTCACGATTCATGCTTGAAATAATTATTTCCTCTGGTTTTCGGATTTGTTGCATCATATTAAAACATGAGTATTCCTCGATACGATGATATATCCAAACAAAGAGATTTGTGAATAGTTTGAAATCGGCCTTTCACTACTATTACTCTATAACCTCCATACTTATATGTCTTCTCGATCAATAATTTGATATTCAGTTGACATATCAGTTTTCACCTCAAGATAACAAGATGATCGTTTCTGAGTGTTTCTTTCATTTTGCTAGTTAACAGTTTGATCAAGATGATAATATACACGTTACACAAAAATACCAAGAGGGATAATTATTGTGACTAGCTAAAGTGTTTTGGAGACAGTCCGTGTTAAATTAAGATGCAAAATAAGTTCTTTTAACGTGACCTCCGAACACATAAAACTTCACACATCTTGAGATATGTAGTCAATCACTGTACCAACTTTTATAAATGTCTTTAAGAGAAAGGGTTGACTTGAGCTGATACTTTGTAGCAGTATTAAACGTTGCTAATTGTTCTGTATCCTGGAGCGTTATTGGGTACATATTGATTTACAAAACATTTAGGCTGGTGCTAACCTACGGGTTGGAAAGGAGTAACTCCTTTTATGCCTCTCTTCTCTTCCTGCTGCTTCGCTTTTTGGCAACGTCAAATAAAACAGAATAAAAACAATACCTTCATGCCTGTACTGGGGGGCATATTCCATATCACTATTAACGACTAAAACGTAATTTATAAGTTAACAAGGCGTATTAAATCAAAAGCTTTGTTTTGTTAACATTTACTTTCCCAACACTAGTCATAGCAAAATATTCCCAAAATACCAAGTTTACCTAGCAAACGTTAAGTAGGGATAACAATACGACAATGTCATCCGTATACATTAGATTTTCAATGATTGCTGATCACAGAAATACTTTGTCTGACAAATCACTTAGATATTTTGGCAGGTCAAATCAAAATCAATTTTCGATTATCTCCTTGAACATCTGATTAACAAATGAAAATATTTGTCTTAGTTTTTTATAACTTTTTCAACTCCACTTTAAACTTGTATTGAACCAGTCTTCTTCAGTAAATATATTGTATATAAGTTAACATGATTATTTTTATTCTTTATTTTTCATTACAACTTTTTTCGGTTTTGATTTTTGTAAGAAATTTGTCACACCTATTATTTTGAAAACTATTCTAAGAAAACTTGAATCCCTTTTACATCTGCCATTTTTCGAATTACAGATGTTGTATTTGTAAATTGGTGTGACATAACCTTTGCTCCAGGATTCGAGATCAACATTGAAAAATAACACTCCATCTTACGGAGACATCGTAAGGATCTAAACATATCATTTGTTATTTGAGCAGGTCCGGCTTGATCAAAACTAGCTCGGAAATAACAGTGCATATTGACAAAAAGAGATACCATACAGTCATTGCATGACATATGACTTTAATATTCTTTTTGCGTGGTAAGAGCTTCCATATTATTGTTTTGTTGGATAAAATCGGCATTTTATCACGAATATACTAGCATCAGCATGTTTTGGTGGTTTTTTTAGGTCAGATTTAAGTCTACATTGTAAGTTCAATTGTGATTTTGGGATTTGATAAAGATATCGAGTCAAGTCGACCAAAAATATATTTTAAAATATATTTACTTATGCTGTTCATCCAAATCGATGTTATAACAATGTATGGCTTGTTTAAAGGTTTAATTCCGTAATTATTAGTTAAAGTTATTAGAAAGTCGTTAGTAGCATTTGTATTTGTTCTCTGTAACAAATACATCTAACGTAATTATTAGTACGATATACTTACGAAGTTAAAAACCGTTTTGTATTTTAATTTATTGTTAAATTACTTCCTTTCTTCAGAAAAGGATTGATAAGATTGTTAAAAGCAAGCAACTAGCTTGTGAACTTCATTTAAAGAGATAATCATTGTATTAATACCTCTACCATGTGGCAACCGTGGGCCCGACGCGATCACTATTTACCTGAGCCGATTGAGGCCAAACTTGTTTATATTAGTTTGCTAATTACTTTAGTTGTCAGGTAGGCCGTAGTCGGCCCTTGCACAAACTCACCTGATGTTGTCACTGAGAACCCGATATCAGGTAGGAAATGTTTTAAGATCCGTGTGATAGAGCAATAAAACACACAAGGTAATGTTAACTGTAGTATTGCCTAGCCATTGGCTGCACGATAGACGATCGGTTCCGCTAGAGTAATTCCTCGTTGACAGACTTATGAATGAATGCTAGGAAAGCCATTGTCACGGTCTAAAGACCTAGCCAATCGATAACAAGATGTGCGGTAATTGGCGAAGAAGAAATTGAAGATTACGGCATAGGGCACGTGGCGATAACCAATTACAGTTTCTTTTCTAATTGCAGCAGGAAATTACGTGGATTTCCGGCTTGAACACGTGAAGCAGATAAACAATACCATGCCTTCCGCCAGCCCATCGCAATATGTAAGTCGCTTTACATTGGCATCCATCGTATTGTCAGGCTGCAATACTTCTCCCTATTGGAGCAACTGATGACATGTATTTTTCCACCATTCCTGCATACTCTAAGGTACAAAAGATGCGTTTGTTTTCAATAATGCATTACCATATATTTATAATATTAAGTTGATGCAGTATTATGTAATGCAAAAAAGTATAATTTTGTATATGAAATGACATGAATTGAATTTCAATTAAAATTTAGATATATATATATAATTGATAGCTGGTTTTCTCACCTCAGATATGCAGCCTTATCGAGGAAATGGACCACAACGTTCTTCAGCCCCCCTTTCTAATGGAGGAGACAACAGATTCCCCAAGCGACTGCCGACGTGGTGGATACCCACAAAATGCTCTGGACATTGAGGAAATTCTGTGTGACTATAACACCGAGTCGGAGTTAGTGAGACAAGGAAACTGTTATCAAAACTCTACAGGAAGTATTCCCAATTTCCATTCATGGAGCTATTCTCAACTTCCTCAACGAAACATCAATATGACAAACAGTGCTCCTAATACCAACATACCAAGTGCTCAGTCAAATTATGGAAACAATGGATATGGACCTGTTCTTGATACATCAAAACAAGATACGAATTGTTGTGTGAACTATCAGAATAAATCCTTTCACTTTGATAGAAATCCCAGCAACACATCCCAACTTTGTTCACAATACGACCAGCGGCTACAAACGGGGGACCACAAAATAGGTAAGCATTTTTGTATGTCCTATTTAGTGAATAATGCTCTCTTTATTGTTACACTTTTTTCCATCTTGTCTTCTTCTGTGTCTGCATTGTGTGTTTCATTGTTTTAGAGGTTTTATTACTTAATCAAACATCCACTGTGAAAGTATAAACTGTAGTGACATTTTAATGTGTACCAATAATGTTGTATTGAATTGTATGTGCTAGGTAAGCGAATATTTAAGTAACAAATAACCGGTATTTCAAATATGTCAGTTAACCATTTACTTTTTTTTTTTTTTTTTTTTTTTTTTTTGAATGCATATAACATTTACACAAGATAATACACAGACATTTATCAAAGAATAGTAAACATATATCATGTAACAACAAGTGTGCCAGGTAGTCGGTTCGGCGTGTGAGTCTCTACCTTTAATATGTCCTCATAACATTTGCCTTCTATATGTGTATAGTATATCGGAATGTATCAAAAAAAGGTAACAGTCATTTTGATGCCCGAATGCATTAGCTTTATCAAAGAGACGTTAACAGAACAAGTGTATGTTAAACATCACTGTGATCAAAACACCTTTTGTATACCAAGTTAGTTTTTTTTTTCTTTATCAAAAGATCACATTTCAGCTGAAGCAAAGACAGACACAAATATTACATTACAAAGCATTAAGGAAAGGAAATATTAGCTTTAAGCACATAGAAAGATTCATATTTAGTTAAATTTATTGTCTGTTTGGGCGCTCCTTTTGGTGTTGTGTTTTGGTCTAAGGTTTATAAGGCTGACAAATCATGCGTAAAGGTCACACAATCATTCTTATAGACATCAGGTTTCATCCTCTCAGTTGTATATTCCTGGCCAGCAAAATTTAGTTTTAGCTACATATTGACGAAGAAAAAACGGGGCTCATGATTCCACATAAAATGTCCACACAAATGCTGCAATCTGAAGGTTCCTTACAACTCATACTTTATAATCTCCAATGGTATATTACTATCTATGGTTACCAACACAGTACATATCATTATTAGGCTACGATTATTTTTTCGAAATGGCCATGGTTCGAGACTTTGAAGTACCTCTGTAAGGTCATATTTTCTCTAGCCTTTCCCTACCTTGCTATAAGTAAATAACAAATAACCATGAAAAACAAAGATCTCTCACTTAGAAACGCGATCCGCTGATAAAAATAAAAGGTATCAATGTTGAAAGTCCACTTAAGATCGCTCAATTGTTCGTAGATAAACGACGTGTGGGTGTGAGTTGTGTAGAAGGCAAAGTTCACGTATCAATAGATAGTGTCGGCATTGTTTGTGACTTGATGATTTCTTTGCTTTGTTGTTTCCTCTTTTCCCAGGTTGATGATGTATTTTTCCTTATTGAGATGTTACCTTAGATCCTGTTGTTGTAAATGTAGGTCAAATTACAATTATTATCCCTGATTGTGTTGAGATGTTTTTACTGAAAAAAACATTATTCTCAAAAGTATTTGTTCCGGATTTTGTTATGTAAATATTTTCATATTTGGTTTTGTTTTTCACTTTTCGGAGGAGGAAACTCTTTAAAAAAGAACAATATTTCGTTCTATGATATTAGCGCGTCATACATGTAGTATATGTTATCAACGTTTATTATGAGTAATTTGAATTGATTTTAAATGGACTATTACGTGGTGAGGAAATCACGTTTTGAAAACGTTTTGTGTTTTTTGACAATATCAAATAGTAGTTATGAGATATATTAAGACCAAATATGACAGATAACTTCCTTGAGGCACGTTACGTGTGTTTCTATTCTTGCGGAATTGAGGTTTGTGACACAGAAGCATCACGTGTAATTTAAATAGTCATTGTATATCAGCGGTATGCAGGGAGAGTATGAACATGAAAGAATTCGCCTGTTATCTTCCCCTGAGCTTGTTAGCTTTAAATTTTGGAGACACGGTAGTCTAGTCGTAGGACGCCGGACTCGTGACCGAAGGGTTGCGTGTTCGAGTCACGGCACGGCACTGTGTTGCATCCTTGAGCAAGATACTTTATTCCGCTTGTTCCAGCCTACTCAGCTGTAAATGAGTACGTGGTTGGGCAGTGCTAAAAGTGTTGAATGCTAGCTGTGAGCGCCGAAATGGCAGCACTAGCTGTATGCTCCCTAGGGAGTTGAGAAAGATATTGGCTGGTTGCAAAGGCCCTATAACCACGGATAATAATTTGTGAATCGCTTTGAGACGACCTACGAACTAGTCGATAACTTATCTTCTCGGTTTGAGTTAAAGATTGGGCCGATGTGGCCGAGTGGTTACGGTGTCTGACCGTCCATGATCACAAGCCCTCCGCCACTGGGTCTCGGGACCGAGGCATAAGAGGGGCGGGTCGACGGTTTTTCTCCGGGTACTCCGGTTTCTCTGCACCATCGAAACCTGGCACGTACTTTAATGACCATATCTGTTAATAAGTTCAAGTTCAAGTAATATGACATGCAACACACACAAAAACGATCCAAACATATAGGTTGAAGTGATTTAAGAGATGGTTAAACTTACTCCTTGCGTTTGTTTGTAGCACTAGTTATGGCCAATGTCGGATCTAGAGGACCTTAGTGTATACCTAACTATCACACTATGATAGATTTAATGCTTTGTGATTTTTTTGTAATTGTAATCGGTTTCTTATATATGCTCTATGGTTTCTGTGTTGGGTATTACACTCGAACCGTTTATAAAGATAGCTGTGATCCTATCATACTTTTGAGTGTGAAAGAAAATCTTGAAATCATGGTTATACTTGTTTCAAAAATGATTAACTATCATATTAGCGATCAGAAACATTATAAAATGAAGGTAATATAAACACAGATGATTGCACCATTAAAATTAGTAATTGACACAGTCTACCAAAGCTTAAGTACACTGCATCACACAATGTCACTACTCAAAAGAGAATAATATGGCCTTAAAGGTTACGTCAAACCTCGGGACCAGTAGAGTTTTCCACCTTGTATCTTGAACGATGAACGTAACATAACATAGTTATGAACACGCAGTAAGCTACAACATACATTAAATATATATACACATTAGGTAAAATGATACGATATAGGACGTTATCTTATATTACTGAATATGTGTGAACTAACCATCACACAGATATTAACAAAACCAACACTTATAAGTAAAACAAGATTTGTATTGTATGACGCTATATAATGTTATCGTATTACTAAAACATGCATTCCAAGCATAATAAATGATATATGTAATATTCATTAAGAACTCTAGAGCCCAAAAAACCTGAGTACGAAAAAAAAAAAAAAAAAAAAAAAAGCTACAACATACATTTACGTTATGTTCGTGAATGTATAATAAGTTAAAGCCTAGCTCTGTATGAGTGTGCATTGAAAGTTAGATCACTGTTATGTAAGAGTCGGTATAGCAAGTTACGAAATACGTTATTTATGTACATAAGTTCAACTTACAGCACACACATGTTTTGTAAGAATTGTACGTTACGAACTAGGTTATGTACGCATATGTATGTCTAGTAAATCATAACATACGTTATTGACGAATAGGTATAGCTGAAACTAGGAACAATACTGTATACTAGAAACTATACGCCACAGTTTCGAAGACATTTATTAATATCCGGACAATTCTTACAATCAAGACAACTCGTAAATCAAGATACTTCGTTGCTCTAAAAGAATGTTTTTGATTTGAATTTCAGTATGCTTCTGATATGGTACATATGTTATATTTCTAAAATTTATGAACAGCTTTATTCAAAACACACTATAATTCCTAAGTTACAATGATAAATCTAAACTGTAACCCAGATTTGAGACAAAGGGTATGTTGATATAAGGATGAACAGAAGTGCAGACACATATTTGGTAGCAGGTTAAACCCTGAGTGTTGTGTCTATTTTTTAGTTGACACGGTTAATGAACCATTTACATATGTCCCCTTGTGGTCAGTACACAGACGCGCCTCTTCTTTCTTTGTGCTATAACGAGTTAACATATGTAAGGAACGCCCTTAACGTGATCACGTTGGTCATAACTAATGTTTAAACCTCACAGGTTTATCGTACATCTCTTGATATTCTGAAACGACAAGAAATAACAATTTACTATCATTATTCAAATGATAGACAACACGATGCCTATCATTTCTTAAACATTGTTATTATTATCTTAAACTTTTTCCAAGATCGTTTTGGATTCTTGAACAATTTATATCACATACATATAAACATGCCTAAGTTATACCAAGTTCCGAAATTTATGTTTTTCCTTCTTTTTTTATCTCACTATGCATGCGTATCAATAGCATGAATGTTTTAAAGGGTTTTTTAATCTGAAGTGAAGCGTGTTGTCAAATTGATTTTAACACATACAAGGGAGAATAGAAAATGTTTATTTCAAATTGAAATCACGCACTGTTACACGCGATTTGAAACAGCTTTGTATTTTTATTGACATTGATAGTAAAATAATGCCACCAAACCGTTGCCTTTTTTTTTAAAGCAACAGTTCTTAACGTTTTATTTTTATTTCTTATTACAATGTCATTTATTAATATGATTGATTTGTGTAACCAAACTAAAATCATTTTCTTCATTTAATGCTGAGTGTTTATATTAATAATTTTTTGCTTTGTTGTGGTATTTTAGAACAAGAATGTTCAACATGGAATGGAAAATCTCCTGAAAGTTGGAATGCAAAACAAGTGCTGGATTGGTTATTTGACGCAGCAGAGAAGCAGCAGTTAGATTGTTCATTACTGCACGCGGAGAACTTCAGGGGTGTATCGGGAGCAGACCTGAGTAAAATGGGCATAGACGAATTTCTACAGTTAGAGCCAAACTTTGGCGGACTTTTCTATGATCTGTTCAGAAAACAGCACGATGGAAGTAAGATTTAAAGTTTATTAAATTCTCACTTGACAAAAGCGTGGTTGCATAATATGAACTTTAAACTCATGTCATTATTCAAGGATAGCAATACGATCCACGTTCCATATGTGTGGTTCGACAGTTGAGAAATTTTAATTCAGTGACAGTTGAAGGAAGTAATGATTAATTTAATGTCTCTAAAGACTGCCACTTTGCAATCCATTATCTCTACTTCCGTGGGAAAACGCTTCTCGTGAAAACCATGTGAACATCTCTATTGTACCTGTTTCTAAGAACATCGGAACTTCACGTGTAAAATGCATTGATGCATATCTCCTGCAAAACGAAATCACTTAAATCATGCGCGTTTGTTGATAAAGATGTACCCGTGACATATGGTAGCTGAGGCGTGACCGCGTAATGAGGGTCCCAGGTAAAATATGGAGACGTAGTCAGCCTATCAAATTCCCTTCAAATAAAAAGATAAAAATTAATAGACCTGTCCAGCGCATTTTATCATTGATCTTAAAATTCCACCATCATTGTAATGCAGGCGAAAAAAACTTAATTTGAATAAAACTGGAATAAATATGACAAAATGAGATGTAGCTACTTTTACAAATTGATATCATAATTGAGATCATTTATGTTAAGCTCGATATCGATCGTGTGGCCTGTTACCGTCCACTAGCGAAATGCACATTGAGAGGGATGTGTGTAAGTGCAAGCTGAGATGTATTGGGCTGTTTGAAAATGACAACCCCGTGTTCTTACCAAACATATATTGTAATGTAAACGGGTTTACATTATGAATGCCGTTCAAACGTAAACAGACAAAATAGGTAAATAAAGGATAATCGTCTCCAACAACACTACTTTTTTGTGTAAATTTGATAAAATTTCAAACCTTAAAACGATTTGATTAATTGTGGTGCTAATTTGATGTTGTAGTGAGTTACAAACCACGCCTGGACACAAGTACGCCTATGACAGACGGAACAGATGACTCTTGTTCCTCCCCTCTAAGTCTTTCTTCTTCCCCTCCACACTTCCAAATGGAAAACGTGTCACGAAGTTATGACAATTTACCAGGTAAGGCTATAATGCTATGATCTGTTAACTTAGGTGATCATTCTTGTTTTCTGTGGAATTAGTTGATAAATGTGTACTTCCCGACAGGTGGGACGAGTACAGTGGTATTATCACTATATGAAATGTACTTGATATAAACGTAATATTGAAATTTCCGTAATACAGTGTATAGCGTTCTGCTACTGAAATATTAATACTGAACCTCAATTTCTATAATTTCTTCTTGTTATTTCTTAAGCTTTATTTTCTTTTCCCTGGTTGGTCAATTCGCATGTGCTAATAAAGATATCATCAATTATTTTTGTAAATAACTATAATGTTTTGAATGAAAGTTGGGATATTTGAATATACACGTATTTTATAAAATTTAACTAGTTTATCATTGACGTTAACTAACCATACAATTAGGAACGCTTCCCACCGCGTCTATGTCAACTTACAACTACGAAAACTTGAAAACTTTACTCACTGACAGGGAATACAAAATGGTTTTCATAAAAGATTGCAATATTCGAAACATTTATCAAATCATTCAATTGAACTTTATTATAATTCATTCTATAGAAAAAAAGGGTGTTCAGTATATGATATCAATATCACCCTGATTGTCTTACCATTGTACACTTTCTATCCATGCTTTTTAATATGGTATATGTGTTAACGTTGCTAGATTACCAGTCGTGTAATGATCTCGGGAAGTTAGAAAGACCAGAGAGTATGTTTTACGAGCAGTCTCACCAGCAGCCTCACCAACAGCCCTACACATGTCCTAGACTTCCGCTGCCCCATCATATGCAGGCAAGACATTGTAAGTACACCCCACGCTTTCATAATACTCTCTCACATGGACGTTTATTTTCTGCTGAAAAATGACAGTGTCATTCTTTCTCGCTCAGACGAGGATGTAAATGTTTCAGAGAGTTTGTTTATAAATCTGTAACAAGCATGCGTTTATATATACACGGAATGTTGAATCATTTAACTCCCATAGTTGTATATTGTAACTCCATTGACTGACTATAAAGTTCTCCTACATGTCACAAGGAATGTAATGTTATTACCAATATTTGTATCATTCCTATTCATATCTGAAATAGAGACTGCTTTGTACAATATTACATTATTAATTTTGCAGCATTTCCTGGAGCGACACCTCCGGTATGTAACATGAACGAACGGCAATGTATGTATCAGCCATACTGTTCTACACCCCAAGGGGTCAGTCAGTGTTCTCTGCCATGCGAGCTGACATCAACACCCATTCCGAGACGGCGGCCAGGTAGACCAAGGATAAAAAGCCTACCCACAGATGAAGAAGCACAAAAAGAGAAGAAAAGTAGGTTTTTTGCGGGCATGTGCAAGTCTGCCGTTCTGGCAAAGTTGAATAACACACTTGTTTAAAAAGAAATTAATTTGATAGTAAAGGTCTTGAAACTGAAAAACATTTTCTTTATTTGCAATTGCGATCCATATTTTATGTAGTTGGCATATTGATTCGGCAATACCCTAACTGTATACACAATAAAACAATGAATATGCCGTTCTGCAAGGAATTTAATACATATGCATATTTGCAGTTTTATTTGTCGGGGCTGACTAACATATTATTTAAATAAAACATTGTATGTCATTGGAATTTTCCATAACTCTGTGATCATTGTGTCCTGCAGCCAAGAATCAGCACCTGTGGGAGTTTATTTACGAGATTCTGATGAACCCGCTGTACAACCCGCAGTATTTACGTTGGGAGAACCACAGGGAAGGCGTGTTCCGGTTCGTACAATCCGAGGCGGTAGCACAGCTGTGGGGCAGTTTGAAAAACAACGAAAATATGACATACGAGAAACTGAGCAGAGCAATGAGGTAAGTTGGCCATTAAATAAAGCGACACCATGGCCCAGTTGTTCAAAAGGTGGTAAGCTTCATCACTGTTTAACAATATGTTTCAACCGTTTTAATAGTAGCGTCAACATACAAGGTTAAATCACACAATTTTGCATGAAAATTAACTTAGTTTTAACTCAGTTAATGGTTGTGCTATAGAGATTCACCAAAAACAATCATTTGTGATAATCACAAGCTTATCACCTTTTGGACAATTTGGCCCTGATATATGGCTTCATCTGTGTCCTCTTACATACGATGTATCCTATGAACACAATTACTTATTGAGAGTTGTAACGGACCCGACCATCGATAGTATTCGCTAACAGGATGGTCCATCAGTTAGAACTCGAAGCCATATGATTAGTCTAACGAATATAAAGGATAAATTTGAAGAAACAAATATAAACTGAAACTGTTACACTGTGCACCTATTTCAGAGGCATATTTGAACATATTGTGTAATGTTTGTAATATACAGACACACAAGTCCTCGAACATTATACCAATTATATCAGTAAGGATGCATGCATCTTAGCACCCTATACGCCATAATGTTACCAGTGATATGTGCAATTTACGCATAATATACTGTGTACGAGTTGCCCCTTGCCTTTACTTAGAATCACTTATTACTTAACAAAAAACTCTATCTAGATTACCTAAATACATCATGTATCCAAATTAGGCAAGTAAATTAACTATTATTTAACTTAATGCACCATTAATAAATAAGCCAAATGCACGATCTATCAATTTACATTTACAAAATGTGTCAGCTCAGCTATTTATTAACCAATTATGTTATTTTTTGTTATACTCAGAAATGCAGTCTACAATGTATTGTTTTTCATAACTCTTGGTTGATTTACCCACAAAACAATACACCATCTTTTAGTTTTCTAAATTCAAATAACAAATCTAAATATAAGTTTTACGTTTGTATTATATGTATTATATGTATGACTATGTAATGATATTCATTTTAGAATAAAATATCAAAATGTTCATAACAAGGTTCATAGTATACCATATCAGCCTGTCTACAAAAGGCCTGTCTTTGTTTCAGACACTACTACAAACGAGGTATCTTAGAGAGGGTGGAGGGGCGAAGACTAGTGTACAAGTTTACCAGCCTGGCAATGGAAAGGGTCCGAGAAAAGAAGTTATCGGTGTAACGATGTCGACATTGTTTGTCTCAAAAACACATCGTCACAACTCGTGGAAAGGACGTCATCATATTCTTGTGTGTGGAGGAAAACATTTCTTTGAAATTGAAGAGAAACAGAATATGACACGCATAAATGTGTTGGAGTTAAAGAGTTTTCAATTTGTGGAATTCCACTGATGTGTAAGGTACGACTATGTATCAGTATTTCATTATGTTCACATGTTTTGTGAAACTAGAATCTCTTTGTGGCTATATAACACTGTCAGTGTAGCTGTTATAGCTGAACGGACGCTCTATCTTCTTCACTTTGGGTCGCGTAAAAATTGGAGCCATTTTGAAAGACATTTTTTATTTATCTAAATACTGAATTTACTTGAGCATTGAACTGCTTTCAGTTGACAGTCATAGATAATATGAATACCAACTGGACAAAGGCTAATTCGATGAACGCGCTAGCGCTTTATGTTGGATTTGCCTTTGTTTACTTGGAATGTACATTGCCTTTGAATGCCAACTGAAAGCAGTTCAATACTTATATCTACCATTTTTGCAATCTGTTCATCTAATAGAAAATCAATTACACGTATTATTATTCAGCAATTAGTTCAAATAATGTATGTATCGCGTATGCTTGTTCAATGAATAGCCAAGGTAGTGTCAGTGGTATCCAACGGAACAATTATGACGTCATAATTATGATGACGTCAACAATCGGTCCATGACATTCAGAAATGCCAACTGATGGTAAATATAACAAAATTACGAAGCAGTATTTTTATAAAATTCAAAATAACTTTACAAGTCAAGAATTGCAATGATGCGGTAGGTCAGCTGCTGGATGTTTAAAACTACACAATGCTTACAAATATTTGTTGACCTTTGTATTGATATTTGTACATATTTAGCAATCACCTTTGAAAACATTTTGGAATTAAAGTATGGAATATTAGAATCTCAAGAAACTTTGAAAGGAAGTAGTGATATATTATATGTGGGCAATGTTAGATTGAAAGAATGCGTGTAACGATCAATGTTTTGAAAGGTTGTGTTTGAAAGCGAGGAAAGACATATTTTTTCAACTTCTTTGAATGAATCTAATACCAAGGAATATCTTAAGGAGTTAAAAGATGTGTGGACTTCTTGTTGAGATTCTATGGTAAGAGAATGACTTATCGTAAAATAAGAAGTCAAATGAACGTATAAATAATTTATTGCTATATGTTTTCTCTATGAGATAGGGTAACTCGATGTTATATATATATATGTTTGTTGGTATGTTTTGTTTTTAAAGTCATACAATGACGCTAATGTTATCTCAGTCTGACCGAAGTGGTCAAAACGGGATGTTATCTCCGCCTGACCGAAGTGGTCAAAACCGGATTTGATAAATAAGAAGTAAACACTTTGTTTTCACGTGTACCATATGTATACATGTATATCGCAAACCATGTAGGTATTATTCGCTACTACTTGCATTCTCATTTGAGGAAACGCTATTTGATTAATGTTAGTTATCATCTATGGTATTGGTATTCATGGAAGTTCTAAATGTCTTAGATTTGGGTAAGGCTTCAATTTTTTATATAAATTCCGAAATAAAACTTGACAAATAGAGATCATACGGAAAAAATTGTGTTAGATATTTTATTATATTTTATTGCATTTAGTAAATATTTAACTGAGTTATAATAAGCATTCGAAGAGATTGATCCCGGCTATGCTTTCTAGAAAAATAAGATGTACGAACTAATTATCGAACGGACGATATTTTTAAATGATAAATGCAGGTTTGTCCCCTTAAATCAATACAATTTTTAAATGTAGATGAAAAGAGTATTTCTATAAATCGTGACCGGTATTCGTGATCTCAGTTCTATAATTGGAATGGCAGGAATATTAATGTCCTTACCTGGACGTAGAGACGTAGAGAACATTATCACCGTTATACTTTTTTCCGTATTGGTACCTTACAGTACGGACACGTGATCATAATGATAATTCACAATTGAAATATCTGTACAGTGTAAAAAAAAAACAAATTAAATGAATAATAAAGTCATATCAAATACGGCAAAAGCAAAAAATCCAAACCAAAGGTACCAATCTAAATGAGTTCATAAAAATTTGATAGTTGAACATTATTTTGGAAGATATTTAAATTATAAAACAGCATGTCACAATCTGACTAACATAATTCGACAATCAGAATAGTAGTACTGTAGGCGAGTATAGGATAGTGCTAAGTTAATTATTGGTACACGTGTACCGAACATTTTGTTTGAATATATCCAAGCTGTTAGGCTGATGAGCTGTTGGTATGGCTCAGCATTACATGTATACCATTCCCATTGATATCGTGTTCGGGGTACTAAATATTAAACATGTTTTACCATTTTTGATTGACGTTATATTATTAAAAAAAGTTTCAGTATTCCGAAACATTTTTTTCTCTTATCTTATTTCCCGTGCTCGTGTATATTTACAGAAGTTTATTGTTAATAACAGATTTGACATTTGTAATTGAATGTTTCAAATTTTGACGTGTCTTTTTATGTCTCGGTGGAACCTCATTTAAAAATTAAATTAAAATATGCTACTCTTTGTTGATTAAAGTGTTCCCTCTTGTAAAATGACCAACTTCTTTCATGACACCGTAGCCTGAGTTATGAATGACGACGGGGTTGTCACAAGCGTAATGCTACAAACAGTGGTTACATTGTATGTCTATTTTTTCTGAAACTCTTAAGAAATTCATCCCTTATTATATATTTTATATATTCTTATTGAGACATTTTGTTGTTGTTAAGATGATTGTATGATACAATGGAAATAAAGCATAAAAATCGATTGCGCAGTTTTTCCTTTTTACGTAAATTGCAGAACTCTTTTTTATATTTTGTATGCGAGTTCATAACATTCGTAAAAACTGTGAGATCTGGATTTGGCATATTGTGTTGAAGCTATTGTATGTGTTTTGTTTTTCCTTATTACAAAATACAACTGAAAACTTTGGGTCCCTGTGGAATCGGGGATTTTCGTCGTGTCTTTCACGAAGACGACACGGAGGAGACGGAAATTGATCTCCTGCCCTAATTGTAATGCTAAGGATTTGTTGTGGGTTTTTTTCTGTCTACTAAGTACATACTCCACATCATACCTACTATCTCTTTGTCCTTGTGTCTCCCTAGGCACCAGTCGTCATATAACACTGGCTGTGTCTCCCTAGGAAAAAGTCATGATATAACACTGGCTGTGTCTCCCTAGGCACCAGTCGTCATATAACACTAGCTGTGTCTCCCTAGGCACCAGTCGTCATATAACAATAGTTGTGTCTCCCTAGGCTCCAGTCGTCATATAATACTAGTTGTGTCTACCTAGGCACCAGTCGTCATATAACACTAGTTGTGTCTCCCTAGGCACCAGTCATCATATAACACTAGTTGTGTCTTCCTAGGCACCAGTCGTCATATAACACTAGTTGTGTCTACCTAGGCACCAGTC